CTAAGTGAACAAATGAGAGAACAATCCCAGGGCTGACTTCGGGTCCTGACTCTCACTCCACCGTTTGCCATCTGCCTGGCCTCACGTCGGCCCTTCTGCGGCTCAGGCTCTCATCCCCCTCACATAGAGGTGCTACTGGAAATCATACCATCCCACTGTTCTCCCCAGGTCGTGGGAAGATATGCAGAGGTAAGGAAGGGGCTCTGTAAATAAGGCTACTTACCTGATTGGTTTCCCAAACTGACTACGTCACTGCCTATTTTGAAGATACTGTCTTTTGTGCTTTGGGGATCCTACAAGGGGTCTCTTGAATTCCTTTCCCAAGGCCAGCCTCTATCCTGGTCCACTGGCTGCACTGTTATTCCCCACCCCACTGGACTCTTTTACTGTTTTCCTTCAATTATGATCCTTAGCCTCTTACTCCCTACCTGGCTGTATCTTCTTCTCCTCTGGCTCCCTTGACACAGGCACCTTGCTTCTCAGTTCGACATCTTTAACCATATTCAGACAAGCAGGGACCTCAGAGATACATGTTTTAAGGTGCTCACCGGAGGGTCAGATGACAGATCAAATAGCACACAGCAGGAAGATGTTTCTCTACCATATCATCTCAGCTTAGTTTGGAGCTTCCCATGAGAGCTGGCTCCAGAAACTCAAGCGCCTCCATCTCTGTAGGGTACAGTCATGAATCTGAACATGATTGAGTTCATGTATTTTTTTTTTTTTTAATTTTTGGTACAGGCTCTCACTATGCAGCTTGGACTCATAGTGATTCTTCTGTTTTTGGCCTCCCCAGCACTGGGATTATACCTGTGTGCCCCTACACCTGGACTCAAGTTCATGTATTAACTCTTTCCCAGAGGCAATCAGGTCTGCAGATTTCCTTGGTCTACTTAACTATACCTCACTTAACCCCAAAGCAAGTTCTCTCCACCATTTCTCTGTTATTTTTACATTCTTTGTTCAGGGCTGAACTAGAAGCTCATCTCCTCCAGGAAGGTTTTCCAGTATCTTCATCTTTAGATGAGTGCTCTTCCCAGAGATCTCTCAGCCCTTGGGCTCCCTGAGCATTGCAACTTGTTACAACTGCTGACTTTGTTTGCCTCCCACATTGGACTGTATGTGCTGTAAGAGCAAGGCTCCTATCTCCCTCATTGGCCATTGTGACTGCATTAGAGAGTCACACCAGTGTCTACCACTCAGCCTGGACAGCAGTGGGCATTCAGTCAATGTGGAATGGATGAATGAATGAATGAATGAATGAATGAATTTCACTTGAGTTGTAATCTAATTTTCCTCAAAGGTAAGTGATAGTATGACATGTGAATTCAGGGTCTTCATTCCTTTCCCAAGGTCAGCCTCTGCCTCTGTCCTGGCCCTCTGCCTGCACTGTTATTCCCTACCCTACTGGAGTCTTACCGTTTTTCTTCAACTATGATCCTTAGCCTCTTATTCCCTACCCAGCTCTATCTCCTCCTTCTGGCCTCCTGGACACAGGCACTCTGCTTCTCAGTTCCACATCTTTAACCATGTTCAACAAGCAGGGACCTCAGAGATACATGTTTTAAGGTGGTCACCAGAGGGTCAGATGGCAGATCAAACAGCACACAGCAGGAAAGTTAGGATTCTAGGGGCCACAGGCAGTTTCCATGGTAACTAGGATCTTAGCAAGTTCTTGCTCTCAGCAGGGAATAGAGACAGAGCCCTTTGATAGCATAGGACAGAAACCTTCAAACCCCAGGATCCTGGCCTGAGGCCATTAGGACAAGGACAGCAGCCAATACCACTACACCTCCAGGTATCCCCTCCTGGACCTTCACAGGTAACTCTGGGTGGGTGTGTCTTATGATTAAGATGACCTATTCCATACCAAAATAACTCAGTTGACATCTTGGAATTGATTTACAGGAGCAGATGAGATCGGTGACTCTGAGAACGTGTTCCTGGAGATCTAGAATGAGGATTTGGGGGGGGGGGAGAATACAGGACACTCACTAATAAACACATGTGTGGTGCATGAGGCCCTGTGCCAGGCACGGGGACTGGAGCTGAGGTCCTGTAGCTTACCCCTTACCAGTATACAGATGTGAGGGCCCGGGAGCTTCTATCTAGGGCTGCGGGAGCACCAGGGCCACTCAGCGTCTCCCAGTCAGGGTATCTGCCTTTCATTGCTCTCATTACTTGAGTTTGACCAACACCAGGATCCACTTGCTCTCCTGCTTGCCAGGTTTCTCTTCAGTTCATTCCTTACTGGAGGGCTTCTGTGAAAATCTACTTGAATTTTGTTGCTCCCTAGACGTAAAATTGTGGGTGACTGATCACTGTCCTTAGGATAAAGTCCCAAGCAAATCTGTCCTTCACATTGTCAGTCTCCGTCCCAGTTCTGAGCAGAAAATTCTTCCTGGGTAGAAGGCGAGGCAAGGAAAGGTGCAGGTGAAGATAGAGCCTGAGTGCTCCTTGGGTCCCTCTGACTGTCATGCATTTCCACTATCACCAGACACCAAGTCTAATCTTGTGTGAAAGTCAGACAACTTGCTCTGTTCAATTTTTCTACTTTCTCCATGGAGTTATTATTTATAAGCACTAAAATCTACCTGTTGCAAATGTAAGTGTTTTGCATGTCTCTCAGATAGCTTTGCATATCTCTTAGACAGATTTATAAGAATGGAGTTTCTGATCAGATAGTGAGTTTAAAATTTTTTTGTAGTATACATTTGTGTATATGATAATCACATTGGTCCTGCAGAATTGGTGTATACACGCATGAGGGCATGGAGTGATGCTATGATTTCATTTCCTCCACCTCCTCTTCCCCATTGGATGTATGAAGGCTGCCATTTCTTCACATTCTCATTTACAGTTTGTCATTTGTTACTGTACACCCCTCATACACCATTATCTATGCTTAGGAACCTGAAGCAACAGCTCACTGTGATTTTCATTTTCATTTCCCTAATAACTCCCTAATTCTGTGGAGTACATTGATATGCTCATCCAACATTTGTCTATCTTCTCTAGAGAAGAATCTTCTCAAATTAGCTCAATTTAGACAAGAGTGGGCATGTTCTAGGTAGTATGATGATAGACTTTAGCACATTTTAAAAATTGTTTTTTTTCTCTCTCCCTATTGAATTGCAAAGACTCCATATATATTCTGCATTTGAATCCCTCATTGGATCGATCGATCTGTTTGTCTGTTAGTCTGTCTGTCAGTCTGTCTGTCTGTCTGTCTGTCTGTCTGTCTGTCTATGATTTGCAGATATCTGTGCCCTATTTGGAGGTTTGTGATTGTTTTTCCATTTTCTTAATAGTATGAACAATTAAATGCTGATACACTGTACTCTCAGTAACTAGTTTAAAGATCACAATGGCAATGTATCAGTCACTGCTATCCTCCTGTGCCTTGTTTTGAAATTTTGGCTTTTTTCTCTATAAAATAAAAAAGAAAACAGGAGGAAGAAACACTTTGCCACTGCAAGTTTCTCAATTTTATTTGCTCTTTCAAAGAACCAACTCTTGAATTCTTTGATTTTTTGTTTTCTTTTTTGTCTCCAGTGCATTAATTTTTGCTCCGATTTTTGTAATTTCCTCTTTTATACGACAGTTTGACTTAACCTGCTCTTTTTTTTTTTTACTAGAAGTTTGAGGGTCACCATTAACTTGTTTATTTGTGCTTGTTTTGTTTTCCTGATATGAGTATTTGTTGCTATACATTTCTGTCTTAGGACTGCTTTCATTTTGTCCCATAAGTTCTGGTATGTTGTATTGTCCTTATCATTTAATTGTAGAAGCTGTCGAATTTCTTCTTTAATTTCATCTATGACCCATTTGTTGTTCTAGAGGGTTGCTATTTAATTTCCATGTGTTTATGAAGTTCTCCTGGTTTTGCTATTGATTTACAAGTTCATTGCACTATGGTCTAATAATATGCATGGGATAATGTCAATTCCTTTGCATTTATTTAAGCATGTTCTATTAGAAAGTATATGGTCTACTTTGGAGAATGTCCTATGTTCAGGGGAGAAGAATGTGTATTTTAATGTGGGGTTGGAACACTCTGTAGGCATCTACTAAGTCTAAAAAGTTTGGTACAGTTATAATACTTCATTATTGACTTTTTTTGTCTCATTGATCTGTCTATTTGTGACACTGGCATATTGAGATGTACCAATACATTTGTTCTAGTGATTATTTGATTGTTCATGCCATTAATATTTGTTTTATATAATGGGCTACACTAGTATTTGTTGTATATATGATTGTTATTTCTTCCTCTTGGATTGTTCCTTTTATGAGTTGTAGTGACTTCCTTTATCTCTCTTAATCCATCTTTACTTAAAATTCACTTTGTCTGCAAATAGAATAGCTACCCCTGATTTTGTCCAGGTTCCTGTCACATGGAGTATTGTTTTCCATCCTTTGACTTTTAGTCTATGCATTTCTTTTTGAATTAAATGTATCTCTCATATGAAGCTTATTGTTGGATCTTTTTTCTTGACTGATTCTGCCAATTTGTATCTTTTGGTTGGGGAATTGAGACCATTAACATTAACAATTATAACTAATATGTTACATTATTGACTTATCCTTGTCATATTACTTTCCTGTTGTTGGATCCTCCTCTTTTTTTCCCCTTCTCTCTGTTTAATTGTTTGTCTTGCCTAATGGATTCCTTCTGTTAGGGTTCATGGACTTGTAATCCTTGTTATCTCTTTCTGGAATGTCTACAAAACATTTTAGAGTTCTGGCTTGGTGTTTATAAATTTCATCAGATGTTCTCTGTCATGGAAGAATCTTATTTCTCCATCAGTTTTGAAAGATAGTTTTGTGGAGTACATCAATTTGCATTAAAGGTTATTTTCCTTTAGAATGTGAAATACTTCACTACAAGTTTTCCTTGACTAAAAGGTTTGTGCTGAGAAATCAGTTGTGATTCTGTTGGGCTTTTCTTTATATGTGATTTCTTTTTTTTTTTTTTTTTTTTAGCTGGAAGCATATGACAACATAGGAATGGATTTTATTTTCATCTCAAGAACAGTTAAATTGAGGAGAAATTGAACTTTTATTGTTAGAATCTGACAGGCTTCAAACACCTATGATAGGATCATGGTCATACAAAAGCCCACCTAGTAAAGTTTTAGGTGACCAGTAACTTTGTCAATTAGATCTGCTGGTCCTGGCCCAATGCCTAGAACAGTTCGAGAACCCGGTTCAATCTGAGTACGTCCAGCATCTTGGATTAAGCTTACAGTCAGTCCTAGCATTTTTGCATGGGTCATTAATTCAATCAGGGTTTCTTCATCAGGGGCTTTGACCACCACTTTGGGCTGGCCACAATAGTCCCACTCCTTGAGCACTTTAGGATTTCTCTTTTGAATTTGCTTGTAGGCAGAAACAGCAGCATGAGAACACTGGGCAGCGACTTTTCCTTTTCCCATCTTTAAGTCATTTCGGACCACAAGAACCATTTTGTACTCCCCACTCTCTCCCAAGATGCTTGCTTCAGTTCCGGTGTCTGTGTTTGTCTCAGTGGTCAAGTTTTTAGGGACCATCCCAAATCGAACCCGGAGGCTCCACCCCAGGCACACACCACAAGCAACTCCAGCAGCCAAGCTGAGTGTGCCAGGATGAGCCAAGTACTCCATAATCAAGGACGTGGAGAGCATCCTTCCTCGTCTTCACTTGTAGGAAGCCGACACGTTTCTCCTATATGTGATTTCTTTTTCCTAACAGCTTTTGAGATTCTGTTCACGTTGAATGTCTAGAATCTTGACTATCACATGCCTCTATATAAATTTTTTTTCTCATGGGTAATTGGAGTTTTATATGCCTCACTTATTGTATGCCAAATCCTTTTTCCCCATCTGTGAATTTTTTTTGCCATGATGTCTGTGAACAATTTTTTAATATCATTTGTGCTGTCTTCTACTTTTTCTTTGACTCCAATCAATCTTAAGTTAATATTCTTTGCCTCAGTTATTAGGTCCTATATTGATCATTCATGGTTTCC